TGGCTACTGGACTAGCTGTTAGCGGGACTGGAATTGGTGGATCGATTCAGGTTTTGATTCTGCGACCATTGTAAGTAACACCTTACCCTATTTCTCATGGAAACCGTATTTATTGAGGGTTATTCAATTTTTTTTTTTTTGTCCTGTAAAGGATTACCGCTCTGGGGTTTAGAAAGGCTTTGCTTATTCACAGTTCTATCAATGCAGTCGTCTGGGTCGTAGCATGGACTCTGATTGCAGAACGTCTGCCGCCGAATCCAAAAGCGAAAAAGAGATGGTTACCCAGTAAAGTGACGGGATCGTTCTATAGTGTTGCTGCTACTATGATGATCGGCGTTTTCGGTTACTTGGTAAGTCAAAAAGTCCCCTCTAGTTGTTTATTTTAGATGATCGACCTTTTGCGATTCTTCCGTTTTTCTATATTATAAGACACCATACTACTTCAGCACGACCTATACGCATTACATCGTCCCTTCAAACGCGAGTTCCTCGATGAAAAACACAGTCCCGTTGATTTTGATGAATCTATGCTGTGCGTGATAACTTCTAACCTCACGGCGATAAGGGTCTCATTTCGAATGAATGGAATTTTACCAGTGGGCTTGGGTCGTGTAAGTGCTTCTGCAATATAATCATATACCCTCTTTTTCAACTTCTTCAAATATTTTTTTTTTCCATACGGCTCTTTCAAAAGATTTCATCAGGTCATTTAGCGGACCGATTCGGGCCGATCAACATGTTCTTCTGTTCGTTCTTGATCGGTGGGATCTTGCAAATGTTGTTATGGACGTTCGCGCGATCATATGGGCTCATCATCTTGTTCTCCATCTTGAACGGTTTCTTTGGTTGTTGGTTTGCGAGTTTGGTCCCTGTCGTGTGTGCTTCGATATTCGGGTTAGAGGGGTTGTCTTCGATTACGGGGTTCATGTTCCTCGCCACTTCACCAGGTTAGTTTTTTTTTGTCGTTGTTTGTTCGGTACCTAAGCGATTGTGGGTCTATTTTCAATTTGTTTGTAGGTCAATTCACTGGAGCTTTGTTATCTAGCACTATACTATCGAGTTCTGGAAATAATTGGACGGCGGTGACTATGTTTTCAGGTGGTATGCAAGTTTTGGGAGCTTTGTGTGTTATTTACGGTAAAGCTCATTTTCGAAAGTTGATTCTGAATGTGATTTTTGATATAAACTGTTTCGCAGCACGATTTCAAAAAAGTAAACTTATCTTCGCAAAGGTTTAGTTTTCTAGATGGGAGGAGGAGTTTTTTTTCTCGCTCTCGTGTATATATAGATGGGTACCTTTAGAGTAGATAGACTGTATTAGAAACTTTATAGACCCGCAACGGTGCTTGAAGCACCGAGGTATAATTGGTTCAAAAAATTGGACCCGAACTGCGCGCGAACGGATTGTCGGGATCCGAGTCGGAACCAACGATTATCCGACGTCAAAGTGCACGTCTACCGCAACGTCCGATGCTCAAAACCACGCGGTGCAAATGGGAGTTTCCCTCAGGATAAAATGTTTCAATCATGGGCTGTCAAAGAAACGCAAATCGGTCATACCGGCGAATAAAGAGTTTTTCAGTGATCTGATGATTTGTAGTCGTACAAGTTCACTTCCACTCGTTACTAGGAATATGTTATGTCGATACGGATTACTGGACTTAGAGACGAGAAGTAGGCCCTGAGTACGACTTTGGTCATCGAGCACACGGCGCACTATAGGAGGGCGGAAACCCCACGCGTATGAAGCGGATCTATATTGAAATGACAACATCAGGTCCGGGGTTCTTTCAAGCTCCGCGTGGGCACTAGTCTTATAAAAACAATTTTCATAAAGTTCGCTTTGTTTCCCTCTTCCTTCACGATGTCCGTCACGACAGCACCTCTGAAAGTACCCCGCCTTGTAGCATTGTTCTTTTCCTTCGCGTGGGGTGTCATCGCTGCAGGTGTATGTGAGTATTACAGCTTCATTTGACTTTCACTTCATCCAATTCACCTCTTTTCAAAGCTATAAGTGCGGACGTCAAGTCGAACCAGCAGAAGAGTCTGCTGCAGCAACTCATTCCACAAGGGACGTCTTTGGATCTGGACACGAGTGGTATGTCATTCATTCATACAGAACGCCTCTTGTGTAACCTTTTGCGTCATGTCTTTAGACGTATTTAGCACCGGGACTGTAATCACGGTCGTCTCTCTCCTCATTGCTGTTCTTTCCCTCACATACCTTGTACTGCTCCTCTTCGTCCCGGCGACATCCACACGAACCCTCCCAATACAATGGATCTCCCTCACATTCCTTGCCGTCTGGCTTTTCGCCGTTCAAATTCCCTTCACCGTCTTCTTCGCCAATAGAAGTGCCGGAGTACGAGTCTTTGCCGGAAATGTTCAAGTGCCAGACTCAATCGTGCAGCCACTTGAAAATAGCTTCGGCGTTACGCCCGTTTATAGGCATATTGATTATTGTGAGTCATTGAATATCTTATCAAGTGGGCTTTGTTCCGGTGTTGCCTCCTTGTAGTAGTACTAGTGGATGCTATATCTTCTGCTTCCTTTTATCATCGTTCTAAACCCGAGTTTATGCTGATCATGGATTTCTCAACGGCTTTACAGTACGATTGGTAGCCATTCTCCCTTGGTTCACTTTTCTTTTCACTACTATCGCTGCCATCGTAAGTTTCTCGGCTTCACGTAGACGCGCTAGCTATGGAGGCGAAAAGGCTTGATAGCGACTTTTCCAAAAATACATCACTTTCTTCTCATGAACATCCTTCACTCTTGCTCGGATTCTGAGTGACTGAGTCACGCATTGTTCATCCCTCTTTGCATCCGACACATTCCTGGAAGTATGGAGGCACTCAAGGTACCGATTGATCAATGAGACATCTTGACTACGCAGTACCATGGTAAATATACCCCGCTCCCCACACTTCCCAAACGGGGTTGTCGGGCTGGAACTCCGGGATGAAGAAAAATCGGTGTGTATTACGTCTCCTCGATGACTCTAATATCTAGACTAGTGCTGGTCACAAGGAGCATAAAAGCCTTTGTTCGGGAAGTGAATATACTTACAACCGACAATTTCTGGTAGTCCGGACAAGGGGTTATGGAATATATAAATGACAATCTCACCAGCAGGCCTCTTGAAGACCCGTTACAGAATATCTGCTCCCGACCTTGTCAATATCGTTGAGGATGCTCGCTTCAAAGCAAAGAAGTCATATATATCGGGTTCCGTGTAAAATGACGAAGATGAGTGTAACTGCCCTGTGCTCCACGGTAAAAGCACAGCATACTTAGCTCGCCGTCGTTCAAATCAATACATTGAACAGAGCTTCTGTTATGCAAAACCTTTGAATGTTATGAGACACTGTTTCACTACTAGTTATGTAAAATTGCGAGCGATCTGCAAGGGCTGCATGAGAAGTCCCCTTCGGGAATGGTCTCCGTTTGTAATGATTTTCCTTTGTTTTCAACTCCGAGTCAGGGGGAGGAGTTCTGGTCAATCGTAGGCAGGCTTTTCGAGGTTCTTAATGTGAAAGCGTCAACTGCGAAGCCCTTCTTTCTATCGTATGAGAATTCAAATTGTTAATAAGTGTAGCTTACCAAGTTTTACAAGTCAGGAGGAGGAGTTCGGTCAATCGTAGGCAGGCTTTTTGAGATTCTTAATGTGAAAGCATTAACTGAGAGGCCCTTCTTTCTATCGTTTGAGACTTCAACTTGTTAATAAATACAACTTATCAAGTTTTACAAGAACTGGACTCCTCAAACGTGTCGCGTCCCCTTCGTAGTCAACGGTCTGACGCCGACCTGCTCCCGTCAGCTGGCAACTAGCATCATCTCGAAAAGCCATGATCCCGAAAGTATACGACGGTACGGTAAAATTTCGACACTCAATGTAAATACTGACCTTGGCGTTTGAACAGGGTCGCGGTTTAACATGAGTTTTTCAAAAATAGACTAGGGCGGGACGGATGGTGCCTATCCTAATAGCTGATTTCGAAGTATTCACCGGTACCTACAAAGCCACAAATTGATATATGTACCCGCGAGCGAAACGCCCGAGAACTCTGGGAAGCTGGAAATCCTTCCGCGTTGATTAATATTCATATGCGGATCAAACGATCAACTAGTAAGAATTGACACAACGGCGCCGAGGACGAAGCTTCTTGTTCAGTTAGTACTTCAGTTTCTCATTCTGTTCCGGGATTGCGTATATAAAATTCTAGTGGTTCTGGAACCCGATGGGAACTTGATGTTCGGCGCTCCTCTTCAAGAATTTCTCGAGGCTGAATATAGTACTGAGAATTTGGTCGGGATGGTAGCTCGACGGCACGGTTAATCTCTAGATATTCTACTAGCTCTGTTCGGACGCTTTATCGAACGAGCTCTCGCCGTCCCATACTGACCTCTGTGTGCACGATATCGGGACTGACTGTCCGTTCAAATCAGACTCCGGATTACAAGTCTTTTTAAGTTTCCAGCTGATGATCAAAAGGTGATGACCCAAGTTGGCGAGGGGCAAAAACCGATACTTACAACCACGTTCTGAGCTATGATCATCCTCATCTTTACTGTAACATCAACATCTGACATATCGTCTCGTCAATTTCTTGATGCGTTTCTTTGCCTAGAGAACGTTCCTTCTCGATCTCGATTCATCCGTCGACACGCGACCCTGGTATATGCCGCATAATGCGGGGGCAGTAGGAGTTCGATCGAGTAAGATTGTATAGAGTCAAGCTAAAAGACAAACACACAGAGTTATGCTGAAATGTGATCCAAATAGATTGGCGAGAAATGGGAATGGCGGGATGTATCGAACAGCAAGCAACATGACTTGAACATGATTTACAACTTCCCGAGCTATTAGAGTTGGCCACATCTTTTGGATGTTTTACAATGCTGAGTGCCGAGCATTGGCCGGGGTATAATGCGGTTCTTTGATTGTGAGTATCCTTTAACATCCTATTAAGGTTCAGAATGTCAAAAAGCTATGTTGATGGCCAACGTGGGGATCGAACCCAAGACCTTCGCGTTGAACGGGTTGATCAACAGAGCTGCCGGGAAAGGGCAAGTCTGCTGTTCAGCCTATTAGCACGACGCTCTAACCAACTGAGCTAGTCGGCCCGGTGAGTTATTCTCGTCTCTATCGCCCGAGCATAACAGCTCACTTTGACTCAGTTATCTGTACGTCGAGCGAAGCAGCTGCGCACGGATCGCCAACAGAATTCCATTCTAGATATGATAATCGGAAAAGTTGGTGTCCAGGATACATGGTCATTCTCTCTGCTTGAACTGAAAATCTTTACCGTCTCCATTAGAGATTGTCGTCTGCTGCGGATGTCGATGTCGACTCCGTGGCTCTCCGTGGTTGCCCCCATCAGCAGCTTAGTATGCTCATGGTCGCCATTCTAATTGCGTCGCGGTTAAACGGCGCGGTAATTCTGGTTAGCGTAAGTTTAGGAAGTGGTTTCCACCTGTTGACAGAAACTGTGATGCGAGAACTTGACACGTACGTTACTTTCTTGTATCTCAGTACACGTCCTTAGCACAGGTGACATCAAGACTACGTATCACTAAGATCGTGCGGAGAATGAATGCTCAACTCTTCTGAAATGTTTTCATAACACAACAAAGTGTTTTAAGGTGGATACTCCTAGAAAACAGTTTTACAGGCACGACGGCAGTCGGTTAAACTGACCCGAAACAATGACAGGAAATTTTAGTTTGTACAATATCAATCTGGTGATTTGAATGTAACTCGGCGCAGTTACCTCTTTCTGAGCGCTAATCAACGGCTATCAAAGACCAGAATGAAAATGTCTGTCAGTCTTGTCGAAATTTTGATCAGAAGTTTGAGGTAGATACCTCGATGTCAGTGAGTGTGTGTTTGGTTAATCTCCTCCGCTAGGACTCTGCCTCGACAACAGTCTTTGCGTAGCAAAAAAAATCTTAAGTAGTAGTCTGGAAAAGTCGCGCAATCTTCCGCGGATATCAATGATCCCACCTCAAAGTGGGATCGACACAAATGATTGTATCGTTACCGGCATTGCATTGAGACCACCGCTCATCCGTGTCAGCCATCAAAGAGATTCAATTCTTGACAAGCTCATTGGGTCCTTCTCTTGAGTACTGTATTTTACCTAACGTTTCGTCTTTATCTATACTAACATACTCACGCGTCTGGCCATTTTGTCGACGAATTTCATGGAAATGAAGTGGTCAATCAAACAATCAAACAACCATCAGACTCATAAGTCAACAAGTCAAGATATAGAAACGGAACGGTAAAACTACCCATGCTTTGGCGTTCGATCGCTCATGATTCACGAACATTGTAGATTCTTATAAAGGCGAGGTCAAATATAGGGCTGATCATTATCGTATTTCCTCTAGAACAGTCGCAGGGTCTCTCCTTTGCTCGACATATCCATCCATGATGATCTTTCGCTCAATTCCTGACGAGATGAATTATTCCGAAGACAGGCCAGTCCTACCTTCAATTTCCCGGATATTTGGTGCGTGGTCCTTTCAAACATGCCTGCATTCTTCTAATCTTTTTTTTCCACCTCTAGACCAAGGGTCAACGAGAAAACCTTCGAGCTTGACGCTTCCCCCCTTGCCTCGCCCAGGTCACAGTAATACCCACCATTCATTTGACCCTAGAGCATATTCGGAATCTTGGACCCAGTGTCCTCCCGCATCTTACGTATGTCGTTTCTTTAAACCTCCAAGAAAACGCCACTTGACTAATGGCTCATCAATGCTTAGGACTATACTTCCAAACTCTATGATATGTCCACGAACTCACGCGATATCCCTGTGCCTTATGCTTCGAGCGAACACACAATGTCTCCCTCCTCGTCTGTCAATTCGCTCTCTCCTCGAGAATTCCCCGAAAGTGTGTTTTACAACCATGACCCCTATGCTATGGACCCGGCGCCTACTTCGATTTCTCCCCATACCCGCTATGGATATAGTGCCAGATCTTATGACGACCTATATGTTCAACCTTCATACTATCCTCGAAGCTGCCATATTGTTTCGAGGTCTGCGCCTCACTTCAGACATCATTCCTCCAGCCCTATTCTATACAACTATCATGGACATGGAGCTTCTGGATCTCCAAATGCGCGTCACCCATGCACTTACTGTGGTAAAAGATTCAGTAGGCCGAGTGGTTTGAAGGCGAGTCATAGTTCCCGCTCTCGAAAGCTTGAAGCTTATAATTCTACAATTTATAGATCCATCTCACGACTCACACGGGGGAGAAACCCTTCACATGCCCGGAACCAGGCTGTCACCGCTCATTCTCCGTCCGCAGTAACATGCGCCGCCATGTCCGCATCGTCCATCAGTTCTCATCAGAATCGTCTTCTCAGACGAACTCCGACTTCGGGGACGATGGCGATTCACGAAATGGCGAGGAGCTTTGAGCATAGTTCTTCAAGACACATGGCTTCTGCTACAAAAGACATTCATTTCCACTTTGTTTAGATCTGTTTCCGGACAGTTATATCTCGTTTCATGTCTATTATGCTCTCTTTCGCTCTGTTTGTCTAACTTTCTCTCTGCACCCTACTGTATCATTAGTATTTTCGAATTTCTCCATTCATATCATTATAGGACCGTTACCCCTCTATGTTTTTTTTGTCTTGTAGCGAGTATCTATTTACTTACATGCACATGTCTAGCTTTCTGTATCCACTACTTTACATATATAATGTTGCGTATTATTGGTTGTAGTACCGTATCTATTTGTTTACCACCCCTATATATTTATAGATTGAAACCACTTTTTACATCAGTCTTGTGGGTCGACTTTAGCGATGGAATAGGTATCATAGTGGTATAAGAAAATTACTGACTCGAGATGCTCCTCAACCCGCCTAGGCCAATTCTAGGCGAAGTTGACCGTGTAGACCACTGGTTTCGGTCCCTTGTTCGGAAGAGGTAAGTGGTGTTTGCATTGTTCTTGCGAATAAATTCCGATTTTACGTTCTGGTGTTCGACGGGGTTCGACAAGTAGAACGTCCCCTTAAATAAGTATTTGCAAGCGGTGAAGGTGGAAACCTGTACTCAACGGGATTCCGACACTTCTTGGTGCCGTTGTCGAAGTCAAACTTAAACTTTCATATGGCTCATAAGGTCTCTTTTCCTGGGATCTTTCAGTACTTCAGCATTCAATTTTCAGGGGCAAATAGTTATTTTTAAATCCTTATATCGAATACTTGACATACGACTAGAAAAAGCGAGGTGGTATGTCCTAGGATCATCATGGAAGTTTTATCAAGGAACAAGTTTACAGCTTCATTTTTAAATTGAGCCAACCAATGAACACCAACTGGCTTCGCATGCTGAACATTTGATGTTATCATAAGTCGAAGATGCTGAGAACCCCTAAAAGCTTCAAACCCTCGGTGACCTCTAGAGAAGTCTATTTTGAGGAAATGGTGGTTCTCTTACGTTTTCACACCGCGGCAGTTTCTCCATAGGCCGATTTTTGATTGTGCAATTTCTTCGCTCAAGAAATGAAAAGCATTTCGAATCAAATAGAAAGCATTCGCGTGTGAGGATGACCAGATACGCTACTTCCGACCTATTTGGCACAGAAATGTTCAGAGAGTTAAGTAGTGAATAACACTGGCAACAGTACGTCTGCCAAGCTCTGAAGATGCATACCCAATTTAAATTATTCACAACACATGTGATTTAAGAAACTCACGATTCCACCCAGACCATCATCCATCATAACTTTAAGGGAGAAGGCTGGATTGAAACCCCTGAGTGTGGTGTGTGGATGTGTATGTGTGAAATCTTCCCAAACGTCGTAGGTAATGCCTTGAATGGACAAACATACGAGAAGGACATGAAGAGAAAGGAACCCGTCATCGGAGAAACACCTTGAGCATAAAGAACATGGGAGAAACCCACTTTTTGATACAGGCCCTCCGCGGAGGTCCCAATACTACATACGAACGCCAGCGCTAGACGTTGCTAGACTTTGGCTAGTTATATCTCGCCATTAGGAATCATATTGGCCTACTCAACAACTATCCTACTCTTTCTGGAAGTTTCATAGATCGAGTAAGAAGCGTGTGTTATAATCGGTCTCGGGGGCGCTTGTTCGTCGCTTGTAGGGCGGCTCCTCGATGACACATCTAAACCCTTGGAGTAAAGAATCAAGATCCAACGAGGTTATTCCGAAAGAGGGGCTTCTCGACTCTGTCGGACAGAGAACTATGATACATAGATTTTCGAGTGCGTGAGCTCAAGGGTCTCTGATTCAAAGGTAGTTTACGGGAGGTTAGAAAAGAAGTCGCGTTTAATGAAAAGATAATAGAACCTGAATATTTGACATGCGATGCCCTGAATCGCTCTTGATAATATCCATTAGGGGTGAGTATGGAACCGAAGTGATAAATGATAAGGATGGCTTCAGGAGAAATATCGGAGGACAAAACATGAGGCCTGTTGAGTGCGGGTTTCCATCTTGAGGGTCAGAAGCTATGTATACGGGATTGATCCTCTATCAACAACGCTGGAGCCATTGCTTACACACTTGAACGTTGTTGACGGCCTTCTCAAGTCCCCGTCCTAGGCTAGTTCAACATCCGAGATAAGTGATCCCCGTTTTGAATGCATTGACTACATTATTAGCCACTCTTGATAACAGCGCATCCCAGGTACTTATGCTTTATAGCACTGACTCAGCGAAAAGTCCCTTGACCGTGAGAGAAGTAAACCTGATTCATTGAGTGGTATTTCGAATTGACCTCCCTCAAGAAGGAGTGCTGAGAACGAGGTACATTGCCGGTTACTAATTTAACCCTCTTCCAGGCATAGGGTACCACATTGTATCGAATTCGAGAAGTCAAATGTGGCGAAAACGTGAGCGAGAACAACTGAATGTCTTGAGCTCAGACTTTGAATCAAGGTGCCTGTATCTTCGGTGATTTGCGAGAGTCGATATGACAGAGTCGAGGATGCATGCAGATGGAGATGAATTCACGTGTGATGAAATGACCAGCTTGCAATAAAATCGGGGGATAAGTACGGCGAAGAGGTCTAAAGGAGCTGAAAGAACAGCGGGAAAATGAAATTCATAAAAAAGGTGGGAAGTATTA